CGCTTGTCTTCATAAAACTGTGACAGACAAGCACAAAAGTGATTTACTATCAGAGAAAAGGAAGCTATTTTTCCGAAGTGGATGTTTTTATTTTTTTCCTTGACGATTGTGTGAATAGGACGTTCACTGAACTAATAGTAACAGTTCCTGCGTGTGTTCTTGACATGTCAACCCTTTGAAGGGTAATGTTAGCTGTGCAGGGAAGGGTGATTGAATTTTAGCAAAAATTAATAATTTTGGAGGTTTGGGGTTTTTAACAAGGAGATGTGAAATTTCTCCTCTGAAATGGGGAGGCACAGGAAAAGCAAGATGATGGAAATACGCATTCTTAAGGACTAAGAGTACAGACATGGAAAGAAATTGAATGATTGGAAGCTTTTAATCTGTGATGGTGGGTCTCTGACAGAAGCTGAATTTTACTTAAATAGCATCAGCATAAAATATGCTGTTTGCACATAATCGAAAAAGGCCAATAATTCAGTTATTGCTTTTCTACTAACAAGAAATAATTAAGAAAGGGGAGCCAGTTTTAATCATTGTATACAAAGGGATATTTCTAGTTGATAACATGATGCCTAAGACAAGAAATGAGAGCTCCATGTGGCATTCCTTTTCATTTATATTCCTTTCAGTAGTGAAATAGAATCTGTTCCCTACATCTCTTTCGTTAGAATTGTTGAAGCACCTGTCACCTCTCGCGTCAGTTTTATGTATTTCAAGGTTTCCCAGCGAACAAATGTAAGAATGCAGGGTCCGTGTGTCCACCCATCTGGGAGGGGAGAGTCCACGTGGTTTTGGATTACCTGTCTGTGCTCGTTTTTCCACCTCCTGTTTGGAGTATGTCACCTTCCGTCAATCTGATTACTTCTCTAAGAAAAGGCTTTTCTCAGCTCACTGCATGACAATGGCTGCCTTGTGAAAACTTCCCAGAAGCCTCTGCAGGCACTTGATCCGCCCCACAAGTGTCACTCTTACATGGAAGGCTGACTCCAGATTTACAGAGTTCTCTGAGGGAAGTTTCTTCAGATGTGTAGCAAGAGATGCTGGTGGTTTCTGTAGATATCTTGCCTTATCTTGACATACGGAGTAAATCTTTTCAAAACATAGTCAGCCGAGAGACACTTAACAATACATACTAATACATACAGGACTTCTAGCCCCTGTGAAAGAATAATGATATAAGTGCCTGCCTTACCTGACCAGTCACATTTATAAAAGATCAGAGATGCTTTCAAAGGCCAGCAACAGAAATTTTGATTTTACTAGAAAAAGGCCATAAGGAATAATGCTTATTTATCCATTTAGTAATCCCTTTAGTTAATAGCAACTGTTTATTACTGTGATAAAACAGATTTGGCTGAGTCTAATAACAATTCTTTTGTCATCATTAAGCAACTGTAGATTTTTGATATAATAAGGATAAGACTACTCTTAAGGTTTCACATTCAAACTGTGGTAAAGTTTGTGCCATGTCTTCCATTTTCAGAGCTTTATAATTCCACTGTAGTCATTTGTTCTTGGCAGAAATGTGTTTTACAAGCTCTCAGCCGAGAATAATATTTTTGAACAATTTTTTCAATGTTCTGGTTATGTGGTTATGGGAATTTAGAACTCAATATTAATATGCTCTTGGGTTTTGTGTTTGTATATCTCAAAATTCACTTTTTTTAAGATAACACAATTTAACTTGAAATAAGACTATAAGGGCTTTTAAATGGTAGAGACAAACCTGAAAAAGAACAGATATTTGTATATGTATAACTAAATCACTCTGCTGTACACCTTAAACTAACACACCATTATAAATAAAATATAAAATTTTAAAAATAAAAGTAGATGGTAGAGATATTTTGTCACTTTAATGGTGGTGATATTCACTGTAGGACGAGATAGTCAGAGACAAGAATTTACTGGGAGAAAAGGAGCCGCTGTTTCTGTCTTACTCCTACCACTTCCAGTTCCTATGTGCCTTCATGCCACGTGTTTTGCCACTTCTTCAGGTATAAAGGAGCTATTGATCTAATTGATTTTTTAATCTATAAACTGAGAGGTGTTTTGTTGAACAACAAGCATTCCCACTTGGTCTAAAATTTGCCGTCTAAGAAGTATCAATATTTTAGCCATAGTTTTATACTTTCATATTGCCCACAGCCTCATTTTTTAAAAATTCTACCTATAGTTGTTTCAGTGTCCAGCCCACGGCTGCAGTTGTGTGTGAGTGGGAGAGATCTAGTCCACGTCTCTCACTTTACACTTCACAGGTGTGGGAAAGCCTTGACGAGGCACGGTGGCCGCAGGGTGCCCTGACAGTGGGGGGTCTGCTGGCCTGAGACCTGGCATCAGGTTTCCCTAAAATCTTCATGGAAGACTTGTGAGAGATAATGAGTTAATATGTGTGGCGATCTTTCAACAAAGTGTAATTGATGTTTGAATTTTCATCAACCAAACATGATATCTACCCTTGAAAGCTTTGTAAGAATATTTAGCACACATGTACATGCCAGATGGATTGTAATGACAGTTGATAGGCCTCTTCTAACCCTTGCGTTCTGTTGTCAAAAATCTGAACATCAAAACAACTATAGTTTTCACAAGAAGATTTGTTGGGTAAAAGATTCGGATGCACAGGGAAAATTCTACCATCTAAATAAGACTACAAATTAATGTTATAAAAGATAAGACTTTAAATTAAGGGTTTATATAAGAATATTCTTAACATGCCTTAGAGAAATATCAGTAGATAAATTTTTTAAAAATCAGATGATATGTACTTGATCTTACATATTTTTCCTGCATAAGAGAATTTTTATGAAAAATCCATGGAGTATGATGCAAGACACTCAGAAATTATTCTTAAAAGCTCAAGGACATGTAAAGATCAAAGTGGAACCACATCATAATACAAATAGTCATCACCGGGAAGAATGTTTTTGCAATTGAGATAATGCCAATGAAAGAGTTTAAAACATAGGAAGTTAAATTAGCAAATGAAGTTGTTATTCCAATATATTGTGACAGCCTCAATAGTATTATTGCAGGAACCCTCTGGAAGTACTTATTCTGGGTGGAAAAATGATAGCTGTAGATCCATGATGGGGGACAGGTGGCCCCACCAATTATAAATTACCCAAGATTGTAAATGTACATTTTATCATCGTGTGTCAAAATATTCATTTTAATATTCAAACATTTTACCACATAATAAGCCGTAACCATATGTTTATTTATTATATTATATCAGTATAACATTAATAAATATTTACAGAGACACAGTGTATCATAGATGTATTCAAAATGGTAGCTCTCAGTTTGATTTTAAGTGAATATCTTTAATGCCTCAAATTAATTTTTAAAGCGTTACATTTGTATTACACATCAATAAGAGCCAAGGAGTTTAAATTTTTAAGACTGACACCCCCTTTTTAACTCATGTTGTTTTATTTATTTTTCCCAATTGCATGAATTAAAAATGGAGTGTTATCTCAGTTTTGAATTCCTTAGCTTGATGTTGCAGCTCCTGCTTTGTTTGTATGTGCATTTGATCTTTAATAAAGATGAGCTCTGCTGAACTTTCCATTAATGAGAGACACTTAGGTACACAGCTCTTTAGAAATGATTTGGTAGTACTGGGAAAATTCAGAGAAGTTGCTAGTCTGTTAATAGTGTACATGGCAAGCTGTGTGATTGATTATCAGAAGTTTTATAATCTCTAAAAACGTAACTCTCTCTGTAAATTGGGATTGTGTCCAATTAAGTTGACAACCATCAATTTTTAAAAAAGAAAAAAAAGGAAAAACTCAGGACTCCTGACTCATACTTTTCCTGTTACAGTGTTACATGAGTATTTATCGTTGTGTGACCGCTGAGACTAGACCAGACGTCCATTCAGGAGACAGGAGGTTGGAGATAAGGCACCGAGTTTTCCCTTCCGTGTGTCAGGAGGCAGTCGCAGGGTGATCCTCCTGAGCTGCAGCCAGGAGGATCTTGTGCTAGTTTGGTGGTTATTGACCTGGTTACCTCTCTGCGTGTTCTTTGACTTCCTTACTTAGCTCATGATAATGAAACCCTAGGGCTTCCCTGGTGGCTCAGAGGGTAAAGAATCTGCCTGCAATGCAGGAGACCTGAGTTCGATCCCTGGGTCAGGAAGATCCCCTGGAGAAGGCGATGGCAACCCACTCCAGTATTCTTGCCTGGAGAATCCCATGGATGGAGAAGCCTGGTGGGCACGGTCCACGGGGTCGCGAAGAGTCGGACACGACTGAGCGACTCACACACACTTCTTCCTTCCTGATGAAGCTCCCCTCTCAGCTGTGTTCACTTTTCTTTCAGCCTCTGTTCAGGCAGACAGCTTCTCAGTATTATCCATTTGAGTGCAAATTTTCACATACAGAACTCTAACCAGAGTAAACGAAGGTGATTCTCCTTTTGATCACAGTGTCTAAACACTCTTAATGGGTACTTCGGGAGAATGTTAGCTGGATTCTCTTACCGCCTTTTGCTGTCAAATGCATATCCACAGGTGGGGTGCAGAACGCTTTTAGTGCCAATCATTATGTTCAGCTCCAACTGGGGATCTCTTTCCACCGTTTCTGCTTTTGTCATGATCACATTTCAGAAATCATTGTGTAACGCCCTAACTTCTAATTTTTCTGTGGGAAAATAGTGTTGCAATTTGCCCCCTTGTATTCTTCTGTGATTGTCTCTCACTAGATATTGGGAGCACGTATGCATTCCAGATCATGGAACTTCAACCCTCATCCCATCTTTTCGTTTGTTGAATTTGGTTTCAGAAGGAATATTTCCCTTTTACTGTTTTTTCTTGAGTAGTCATGAGTGCCCTGTTAAAATGACTCACCGTTTCTCTCTACAGTTGCTTTACCCTCATGTACTATAGCCCATGTAATAACCTAAAATACTGGCAAGCTTGAACGTCTGTGACACCCCGGAATGTCTTTTACAGCCTTTGTCTAGGTTTGAACTTTCCAAATTATGTATTTCAGACGTTGAGAAAGAAGGGCCTTAATGGCTGTGACAGCCCAGATCCTGATGCAGACGACTCAGTAGGTCACAGCCCTGAGTCTGAGGACAAGTACAGGAAAATTAACGAAGATATTGATCTAATGATCAGCAGGCAAAGATTGTGTGTAAGTACTCAAAACACCCTTCATTTTTTTTACTCTTGATATTTCTCTGAACCTGGCAGGCCTTGAACAAGAAAGAGAACAAAGGCTGTGAAAGCCCCGACCCCGACTCCTCTTATGCACTCACCCCACGCACTGAAGAAAAATACAAAAAAATTAATGAAGAATTTGATAATATGATCAAGAGCCATAAAATTCCTGTAAGTACCAAAGGTAGATGGCTGGTCTGCTGATAACTGCTGCAGTAACATCCCTTAACCCTTTCAGTGAGGGCTTTCTCTCAGCAACACTGCAAAGGCAAACCCAGAAAATAGCCATCTCACTCCAAGGGCCGTTCACTTGGAGAGCAAACCTTCAGGAAGTTACGTCATCGAAACGATGTGCCACCCAGAAGTTCGTTCGGAGGTAGCAAGTTCACAGGAGGAAGAGAAGGATCTTGGTGACCCACCCAGAATTTACACAATCTCTTAAACACACAGTCCACACAAATCACCAGGCACTCGCGAATACCAGAGTCTCCTTCTGAACGAGGACTGACTATAAAATAGATAGATTTTAACTGAGATCAGATACACGGGTGAGACGGCCGTTCTCTCGCGTAAACTGCCGCTCATCAGCTCATCCCCCAAGTAGAAGCTTGTTCTTGAGTGAAGCTTCCACCCTCTCCCTAAACATGAAATTCAGCAGCAGCACTGAAGGGTTAAAGCTAATGCTCGCTGCAGGGAAGCAGAGTGCATGACAACCTAACGGTAAGATTTCAACATGTTTGTGTGCTGGGGTGATGTTACAGCTTTATCAGAATATTCGCTTTGCCTACATCAACATTTTCCATGCTTTAACATTTGGCTAAATTTTGTCTTAACCAAGTCAAAAAATTCCTAACAATCAATCATATGCCTTGCCAGATATTTAAGAGAAATAACTCTGCATGTATTATTTTGTTTGCCCACATATTATAGAGGGGGAAAGTACATACCTTTTATTCTGTCATCAATCAAGTGATGTTCATTTTGTGACATAAAGTGTTACAACCTGAGGTTCACATACTTACTGAGTAATGAATGTTCGTGTCTGAACCTTCACTGTATACAAGCTCCCCAGTAGGTATTTAATTCCTTTCTCAAAAAAGTACACTTTCTCTAAGTTAGGGAAACATCTGAAACCTGAGGATTGAGAGAGACTATAGTGAAAACAGGCCTCAGCAATTACAAGTGCAAATATTTGAGATCAAAAGCTCCAGGCCAAACCCACAATGACACTCACAAGATAAAGTAACGCTCTGCACATAGTAGGTGCACAATCAGCCCATGTTGGATTAAACGGAACACTTAAAACTTACTTATAAAATGTATGCATGTTAAACTTTATGTCCTCATAAATAGACGTCTGCTGCTTTTGTTAAATGAAATAATGTCCACAGGAAATCTTTTGTTGAGTCAGAATTATTAATACTCTCTATCATGAAGGAAAGCTAACTGCTGTAAACTCTTAAAGGCTTCATAAGACCGAGTACCGCATACAGCACTTCCACAGTGGGCGCTTGGTCAAATGAAACATTTCCTATCAGAGGCAGCAATACATATTTGCTACAGCCAGAATTCTTAAATGAAATCTCCTGAGATTTTATTGCCCAGCAGAAGGAAAGAAGGAGCTCCTCTGGGCCAAGTTTTAGTTGCTATGGCCCGAGTTTCTCTCACTATATAATATGCTAGTTGAGAGCTGCTGGGCGCGTTTGTGAATGTTAGGATTTTAAGGTGAAGCACGTTAGGTGTCTCAGGAGGAATGCCCAGCACGGTGAGGAGAGGGGAGTGTGTGTAGAACTGGCAGTCACTCTCCATGTGTGTGTGGAGCCTTAACCCCCAAAGATCTGGGAGGATGCCCATGTTTGCACATTGGATCATTTCCCCCGTGCTCTAGGGAGAAAGAGGTGTAATGCATACCTGGGTTCCCTCACCATATTTCATCCTGTCGTGCAAAGAGTTCAAAATCAGGATACATGATTTCTTAAGAGGTGCAGTGGCGTGCGGCAGGGGATGGAAAACCACATTAGAGCTCACAGGCAGAGCTGTGAGAAGGAGCCATAGAGCTCCGGGCCGGGCCTGCAAGTCCCCGTTTCTTGAGTAAGTGCTTCAGTCTCCACGATGAAAAGCCCAGTTTTCGCACATCGCGTTCAGTTGCTGGAAGTAAATTTTGCCGAAAGTTTCCACAGCTGCTAAAACATTTACAGCAGGGCTAGGACACTCTGCCCTTTGTATGGAGAGAGTGTCTCTGCCTCTCTGAAAACATTGCAAGGGTGTTTTTCTATTCCAGAGACCCAGGTTGAAGAGTTTTCCCTTCTCAGATCGAGAATTTAATATTGCAGTCACCTGTTGGTACCATCTCATTTTTGCCCATATTCCTCAATGACGTGAAATCATTCATGGCTGATTTGGAATCCTGTCGACCAGCATTTCCTCATGTGGGGTTTGCCATGGTTCATGCTGGGTTTCACAGCGAGAAAAAAAACAGGTCCATTTGAGGAACCAGGAATTAGGAAATGGCCTGAAGGGAGGAGCAGGCAAGTGCAAGACGGGTTGAGAGGGACCAGGAAGGGAGGAAGTGGAAATAGTATGGGTGTATTTTCTTCAAATAATGAACTGTGAAGAGCGAGAAAGAAGACTGTAACTAGGATTGAGGAGAGAGGTAGAAAAAGTACTTGAGGTGATTTATATGCCGAGGAGGAACACTTAAAGGAAGGAAAAGATTGGTCGCGTAGATAAAATGGGGATAAAATGGCGAAGCTTCTCAAGGAAGGGCTGAGAACCGGAAGGATTCGCAGATGTAGTCGGAGTGGCCGGGGGAGAGGGAAGTTGAGAAGATGGCCACCTGATGACCTCTGTTTTTATACTGAATTCAGCTTCTGTAGCTCTGAGGTGGGAAGCAGGTGCATGAGAGACGGCCACGGGGACGCCCACGGGTGTAGACATTGTGAGGAGCTGCAGGTGGAGGGGGTCACTGACCACAGTCGTGGGGCGTCCTGGAGGGGGTTTGGATACAGCAAGCCAGGTCGCTGGGCTTCCCTGGGGGTTCAATCGGTAAAGAGTCCACCTTCAAGGCAGGAGACTGGGGTTCGATCCCTGGGTCAGGAAGATCCCCTGGAGGAGGGCATGGCAACCCACTCCAGCATTCTTGCCTGGAGAATCCCACGGACAGAGGAGCCTGGCGGGCTACAGCCCATGAGGTCACCAAGACTCGGACACAACAGAAACGACTGAGCACGCACGCCCGCCAAGTCTGGTCACTAGTCATCAGCGTTGTGTGATTCCTTTCTCTGCTAGTTCTCAGCAGGCTGGTCATGGTTGTTCAGAAGTTGAGAGTGTCAGCTGTGGCCCCCAAAAAGAATTCCGTTCAGTCATTCCCATTAAATGAAAGAGGGCCTATTAACTAAAAATACTTTATTAAAAATATTTTATTGGACTTTTCCTTGCGGTACGTTTGGGAAATCATGGGTTTTGGATAAGAGTTCAGATACCTTTCTTACCGCAGTGACTCACTTTGGTAACCATGATCCATTTGTTCAGGGATAGAAACTAAAAACTGTTTAGCTCTCATGCCTGCATCCCTACATCCAGGGCCAGCGGCACGGGTATGTGACCTGTACTATTACACAGGGCCCTGCTCCCCTGGGTCCACGCCCGCTTAAGCGCTGTGCGTCCCCATCTTGAAATTCTTAGCAATTTTTTAACAAGGGCCCCACATTTTCATTTTGCCCAGAGCCCTGCAAATTATACAGCCAGTCCTACTTATATCATCTTATTTAATCACCCAAAATTCTCTCTTCTTTCCTTTCTTGGGGGATTCTAAAATTTGGAGCCTGCCCCCGAAATCTTTGCAAGTTTGAAGTCTTTAATGACTTTTTGGCTTTCATTTTTTTCAACAAAATTTTTTAAAATTTAGATGCTGTTTTTTGTTTCTTTGTTTTGGCTGTGCCAGGTCGTCCTAGCGGCACACAGGATATTTAGTTGTGGCATGTGGACTCTGCTTCACCGATCAGGGTCAAACCTGGGCCCCCTGCACTGGGAGTGTGGAGTCCTAGCCACTGGACCACCAGGGAAATACCTAGATGCTTTGAAGTTCCTTAATTTTGAAAAATTGAGAAGAAAAAGAAAAAATGCCAATTTCTTATAAACATGGGTACATTGTTACAACCATTTCCTAAGGCATCTAGAGTTGATGGGTCTCTTTTTTGGATGCAGCTGCTTCAGGTCCCACATAGGGTCAAGGGAGATCAAATGACTTGCCTGCTTAAGTTGCAGTTTATTATACTACCTGGACTGCAACTAAGATTTCTGATACAAAGGCTGATGTTCTTTCTGATTCTCTGAGACACCTTGTCACTATGGTCAAATTTAAGCTTATGATGTGATTTCAAAATTATTTAGCCAGTTTCTGATACAGATAAGGAAACAAAACAAAAGATGAAATGCAATGGATGTTACCATGTTTTATGAATTGTGAATTTTTGAAGTATGCTTGACTTCCTGAAAGGTGACGCTAGTGGTAAAGAACCCACTTGCCAATGCAGGAATCATAAGAAATGCGGGTTCGATCCCTAGGTTTGGAATGATCCCCTGGATCATTCCAGGGGATGATGGCATGGCAACCCACTCCAGTATTCTTGCCTGGAGAATCCCGTGGACAGAGGAGCTTGGCGGGCTACAGTCCATGGAGTCACAAAGATTTGGACACAACTGAATCAACTTAGCATTCATGCATGCCAGTATCAGAATTATATCTGACTTCTGTCTAGCCAGTCACAAGAGAGTTTTATAATAACTCTCATCAAATTGTTTATAGCCCAGAATCCCAGAATTTGATTTGGGGATGATAGAGGTAAAAAGGAGTAGAGAGACTTACCAAATTGGTTAGTAGAATGGTTCAGAATTCATTAAATGATTATTAACCATCCTCTTTATTTTGAATATGCAAATAATCACAGGGTAGGGGAAGGTATTGGCTTTGTTCTCTACTGAGACACGGTCAGTATTCTGTAGAATATTCAGGGGAGAAGTAGTCTTGTAGTGGGGTCCTTAGGTATCCAGTTAAACATTTATAAGTAGTAATAATGAATACAGAGTAAAACATTTGTAAGCAAAAGAGAGCTTTAAAATGTGAAATCTGAGTAAATTTGAACAAGGGGAGTCTTTAAGGTGTGTTTTTTCCCAAGGCCTCATCCCACCTTGGCATCAGCAGGCATAAGCACACACCCTAACGTGATGTTCAGCCATGTCCCATAAGAATCCATTTAGTCTGTTATGTTCCTGGTCCATAAATAATAAGCTTCTCACATGCAGCCCACACTCACGTCACAGTATGATTTCTGACCAAAATATTTTATTTCTATTCAAAAATGTATACTGTGTTGCACAGTCATTTAGTAGCAAAACCAACAGGCTCAGTCACTTGTTAGACAACCTTGGATCACTTACTTAATCTCACCAATTTAAAAAGGAAGGTTTATATTTGTAGTGAAAGGATGTTGGAAGCTTCAATCATATTGTATATGTAAATCATGGCATAGTGCTTGCTCAATAAATAATACACAGTAAGTTGTTGTAACATTACTTTTACATTCATATAGTATCTTCCTAAAAATTCTTTGAATGAAAATATTCAATTAGTACAATAAAAAGTGGGCTAGGCTATGTACTACCTCATAGCAAAAGAGCTTTAGCATCTGATAAAAGGGGACATTAAGTGCCCAATATCTTAATTGATCTTATAAAAGAAGAGAAAGCAATCAGGAGATGGGTGGGAGCAGGAGCAGGATTAAATAGAGTGGTCAGGGTGGGCTTCCTTGAGAAGACTAGCTTTTTTTAAATTTTATTTTATTCAAGGGTAGTTAATTTACAATGTTGTGTTAACTTCTACTGTACAGGAGAGTGACTCAGTTATATATATATTCTTTTTCATATTCTTTCCCATTATGGTTTATCACAGGATGTTGAATGTAGTTGCCCATGCTATACAGTGAACCTTGTTGTTGACCCATTGTATATACGATTTTTTTGCATCAGCTAATCCCAAACTCCCAATTCTTCCCTCCTCTTTCCCCTCTCCCCCTTGGCAACCACAAGTCCGTTCTTGATGTAAAAGACCAGATTTTGAGCAGAAATTTGAAGAAAGTGATGGAGTTAAACAGAGAAATAAGACAAGAATGAGGGAGGGGAGAACAGGATGGCAGGAAATCAGTTATGGAGCCTGGTGAAAACTGGAATTAGGACCCTGTGGAACATAGGGAGAAGTTGGACTTGGCTACAACTAGGATGAGAGTTCACACAAGGTTTGGAATAGAGAAGTGCCGTCACCTGAGTTATGCTTCTAAAGGATCTATCTGATTGCAGGGTTGAAAATAAAAGGGAGGGCAAGGATAGAAGCAGGTAGCTATGAGCAGGTGACTGCAGTGATCAAGGCAAGAGATGATGGTACTAGAGTCAGCCATTGGAAGGTAAGAGGTGGTTGGAGGTTATATGTGAAAGTTAAGCCAATAGTGTTTCCGGGTAGACTGAAAGTGAATTATGGGAGAAAGAGAAGATTCAGGGATGACTCCAGAACTTTATTCTGTGCAAAGGAAAGCATTGAGCTGCCATCAGCTGAAGATGGGAAGAGCTAGATTGGGACTAGTTTTGAGATGCTTATCAGACACTTAAATAGAAATATTTAGAGTGTAGCTGAATATGCAAGTTTGGAATCAGGAGAGAGATCCGAGCTAGAACTAGAAAAAGGACCATGGTGCTCTTTCATTCGAGTTTCCCAGGTGATGCTAGCAGTAGGGTTCAATCCCCAGGTCAGAAAGACCCCCTGGAGGAGGGCATGGTAACCACTCCAGTATTCTTCCCTGGAAAATCCCATGGACAGAAGAGCCTGGGAGACTATGGTCCATCAGGTCGTGGAGAGTCATACACGACTGAGCACACACTTTTACATTCGCAGAGCAGGGAGAAGAGGATGAGCAAGAAACCAAGGCTGAGAAGGAGCAGCTATGGAAATAGGAGGGAAAGTCCAGGATTATGGAAGGGGAGGAAGTTTATCAAGAATCAGTGATCAGCTGCGTCCCTGTTGAGAACTAAGAAGTTACTGTTGGATTTAGCAATCTGAAGGTTATTCATCACAATGACAAGAACATTTTTAGTGAAGTGGTGAGGAGAACTTTTTTTAATGGAGTGAGTTGAGAGAAAGAAAGCAGTGTGCCAGATTTCCAACCCAGGTCACAAGAGCAGAACTGTCACTGGTGACATGATTTTCCAAAGTTCCCTACCAAACGAAGTGGAACATTCCCTCACCATACACAGCAATTGCATTTCTGGGAATTTCAGTGCATAAAAAAAAAAAATCTGTGTTTCAGTGTATTAAAAATACTTTGTGTTTGCAGAACAAAGTTAGTTCTGACTCAGATGATTATTAAAAAGGTTTTTCATACACATGAATGTCCAGTGGAGCATTTGAAGGTGGGATGGGATAAGAGACAATTCTTTGTTGTGTACAACTGCCCCACATATAATAGGATATACAGCACATCATATTGGGGTTTCCCTGGTAACTCAGTCGGTAAAGAATCTGCCTGCAGTGCAGGAGACCTGGATTCAATCCCAGGGTCAGGAAGATCCCCTGGAAAAGGAAATGGCAACCCACTCTAGTATTCTTGCCTGGAAAATCCCGTGGACAGAGAAGCCTGGCGGGCTACAGTCCATGGGGTTGCAAGAGTTGGACCCAACTGAGCAACTAAACCACCACCACAGCATATCTACCAACCAGGAGAATACCAGCGCAGTCATTGACACCCACAAGTTCCCAGAGTGCCCCCCAAGGAGACAGTCCACCGGCAGAGTGTACCACAATTCTAGATCTAGAGTTACTCCTGTGGATCTAGTGGAAAACAGATGGCAAACTCAGAAGGGTAATGGGAGAGAGTTCAGTAAAGGGTCTATTTACAGATGAGGAGAGATCAGGCATGCTGCAGTCCATGGGGTCGCAAGGAGTCGGACACTACTGAGCGAGTGAACAGAACTGAGATCAGGTAAACTCAAGAAATTGTGAAGTACCTTAGGGCTTCCAACCTGGAAGCTGTTAGCATACGTAGGCCTGAAGGAGCGAAAGGAGGAAGAATTTATCAGAGCACAGTAAGATCTATGTCACGGGAAAGAGGACCAAAAGGGGGGTGTGCTGTTCGGGCAAGGCAGCCTCTGCCGTCCTCTGGCCCAGCAAGAGGGGAACTATATCCGGACCTCTCTCCTCTGACTCTCGGTACTTCTGCCGGTGCCTTCATTGGCCCAGGTGAAGCCGGAGGGCCAGGGGAATGTGCTGGATGCAGTCTGGGACATCAGTCTCCTGGGCCCAGAGCAGTGGAGAGGGGGTCAGGGTAAATGGAGAAGTCCTGGAAGGTTACTTTGTTTTCTCAAGTGTGCTAGAGTAATTCCTATTTGGCCTTTTAATAAGGGAATGCAGTATTTTACTGACTCTCTAGACATTTATTTTACAGCATATACTAATTTTTTTTGTTGTTTAAAGGCTTTGGGAATCGGGGAACATAATCATTCTTTGATGTCTTATCAAACATTCATATTCAATGACATCATGGTGTTTATCCAAAATTATTTTTGTTACCCTATTTACAACAGATAAAGCTTAATTTTTAAAAAAATCTGTGTTAATATAACACTTGTACACTTTTATTTCCCTCTAAATCAATGAAGGATCAAAGACATGTAAATGAAAAGAGTTAATGACGCATTTGTTCTTATCAGTATTGCCATGTCCAGATCAGGGAAGAAAAGAAAAATAGGAAAAGTAAAGAATAAGGGAGCAGAAGCAGAGAAAGAGGACAGTGTTGTAATTATCACCAGGATAAACAGAGAACTGCTGCAAAGCACAACATGTGATGCAGGCCAGCCGATCAACAAGAAATAAACAAAAAGAAAAAAACTTGATGTTAGGATTACAGAAAAAAATAGTAAGAAGAGAAAACTTTGAGCCATCGGCACATATGCATTTAAATTTGTACAATGGCTTATTAGAGACTCCCTGAGGGAATCTTCTGTGGAAACCCTAATAATACATACTAGATCCACACATATATACATACACACATATATCCATTTTATATTAGGAATGCTGCATACTCTCACACCATGAGTCCTCTGGCAATGTATTCAAACAGTATTTTCATTTTTAATGTTAAAAATGAAAAAAAAAAGGAGGAGGGGAGGATATTTCAACTATGATTATCTAACAAATGCAGCAGAAAAAAAAGCATGTGTGGGTTATATTGCCAAAATAATACCAAAAAATCAATAGTTGGGGTCTGAATTACTCTAATTAGACATCCACACAGGTCACTAAATGTTTGCAACTCTCTCATTGGAGATATAGGTCTTGCCATTTGTCAATGTCAGTATATCCCAAAAGGTGAAGTATGATGTATATTCTGAACTATCATTTTAAAATATGAATTATTGAATGATACATGCTCTGTTGAACTCTGTGTCTTAAAATGTCGATTATCTTTAGAGTTACTTTCAAAAGACAGACTTTTAAATATAATAATTAAAGTATATATGCTATTCACATGCCCGGAGATGATTTTATATCATTAAATTCTGCATAAATATGCTTCAATAAGCAATTAAACCAAAGGCTCCAGTGTGCATTTTAATCCCTTTTCTCTGTGAAGTCATCACAGTCATGTACCTTTGATCTTGCAGTCATTTCTGGCACCGGATTCAGATATCAGAAATGAACAATTACCACTTAATAGAATGGAATTCAAAGACAATGGAGTCTAATGAAATGGGTCTTTGTTTTAAACAAAAGTGAAACGTTTTCTAATAGTTGCAAAGAAACAGTTCTAAGCACATTAAAGAAATCAGTTTACGATCTGAACATCTTGAGAGCTTCTCTTAATCTTCTAGGCACCAAGCAGTTTGGCATTTGAGATTTTTCTTGGAGAAGTGAGGCTGTCTGTACTGGGCTGTGTTTCTCTTCACTTCTTTTACCCGGGCTTGTTTTTCTTGCGCCTGCAGGCTGTCCCGCCTCCCAACTTTGAGATGCCAGTCTCCATCCCAGTGTCCAGCCACAACAGTTTGGTCTACAGCAACCCCGTCAGCTCACTGGGAAACCCCAACCTTTTGCCACTGGCCCACCCTTCTCTGCAGAGGAATAGTATGTCTCCTGGTGTAACACATCGACCTCCAAGTGCAGGTAACACAGGTATGTCCTCGTAATAACGCAACAGCGGCAAATCATTGGAAGGAGCTACCTTTGGCAAAGAAGGCTGTTTTTCCTGCAAGATACTGAGTGTTCCAGCTTTCCATTTGTTATGTTCCTTTATCACTTAATACCCATCCCCATCTAGGTCTTCCACATGGTAAAAACCTAACCCTTTAGCATATCTTTCAAAATCTTTCATGATCTGCAGTTTATATGTTTAGCCCATCACCCATCTCCTCAGTTGGCTGTATTTTAACCACATGCTTTCTCAAAGAGAAGGCCGAATATCCTGTCTCCATGCTTTGGTTTCTCCTCTTGCCTAAAATGCCATTTTCCCTCTTCTAGCCAGATATCACCTTTTCTATGAATCATTTTCCCCTGTGTCCCTTGATAGCATTTATCTCATTTAGTTATTTATTATTTTGGTCAATTTTTTCTTTATCAATCCAGTAATTTATAGCACAGAGGACTTAAGGCAGAGAAGGAATGTGATGAAATAGCATAATTTATAAGAACTGTGAATTAAAAACAAAACTAGGTCAGAAATGAAGATGAGAGCGTATCACAAGGACATACACGACTGCCACAGATTTGTGTCTATGCTTCCAGGAAATTCTTATGGTTGTACAATTCACAGTGTCTCAGAGAAAAGAAATCTTTGCTCAGGAAAAATTTGGCCATTCTTAGAACTCAGAGCAAGGGATACACCAGATGATATACTGTATTGAGTATGTGTCCATTTCCCCACTGGACTTACAGGACTCTGAAGGAAAGAATGTCCTCTTGCTTGTCAGGTTCACGGTAGGAACTCAGTAAATATGAGTTGAATATAACTGAATAAATCCTTCATATTTCTAAAATAAGCTCCAAAATTGAATTTCTAAATTGTATACAGCTAATCATTATACCCTTACATTTTATTTCTTAAAAAGCACTTAATAGAGAATTTTAATGTCTTAGACATTTTTTTTATTAAAAGTAATTTAACCACAGAATTTTTTTTCAGAATACTTATATCTGCCTTAGAACTAAATGTGTATTACTTTTTAGTACAGAAACTTCATGTAGAGGATACAATCAGCCACATTAAAAAAAAATCTTGATAAATCTTGATATGTATAAAGAACTTATTATGCTATTATCCCTACTTCTGAATATGTTGAAATCTTTCATAAACATTTTCAATAACTATATGTATTCCTTTTAGATCATACTCAAATGCTGTTGAATTTCCTATTTGATGAACTCATGCTCATTTATTTAAAAAAAAAATCTCATGGTTTACTTCCAAAATATTTATTTGGTTGGAAATAATAAACTCTTTCCTTAAAAAGTAATGAACATTTTCTTCTAATTTCAAACCCAGTACCAAATAATCATAATAGCAATTAGAAAATAATCTAGCTAATATTCTGTTCTTTTAGCTAAACTTTATTCCTTAAGAAATAATTATTATATTCAGTATCTTTTTAAAACATCCCAACTCCCATAAATAAAGATTGCCAAATTTTATCCTGCTTTCTTAAGCTAGCAGTGAATAAACATATGTCTCTAAATTCGTGGCCAATAAAACCTGTTTTATTGCATTAGTAAGATTCAGGTAGTAAAGGAGGTCATTCACTGTTAGAAGATTCATGAAATGACCAAAGTGCTAGGCAATTAGCATTGCACAGAATTAATTCTATAAAATATATTTACAAAAAGTTAAACATCAAATATATGGTTATTTGAGCATATAATAAACTTTACTCTTCACTTTCTAGAAAATGCCATCTTAGGAAAACTAAGTGTGAAAATACAGTAAACATTTAGAGACCATTCAAAGACTAGATTTTTTTTAAAGGTAATCTTGGGGAAAAAGATGCTGCAAAATGTCAGTGATGGAATGTATTTTTAGTGTTTGAGCACAGCATGTCACAGTAAAACAAATGTCAGCCGTCTGACCTAGGTAACACTTGACAAATTTAGGACTCTTGGGAGAATCCTAAGAATACTAAAGTTGCTAGAGGTACAGTGTGTTGTCCTGGGGGCCATTAGCCTTCCTCCTTTTGAGCTTCCTCTTTCGTCCACAGGTGGTCTGATGGGTGGAGACCTCACGTCCGGTGCAGGCACCAGTGCAGGTGAGTGGAGACCCCAGTCCTGGAGAGCGTGTCGTTGTTGAGCAGTCCTTTACTTGGTGATCTGCAGACGTAAGTCTTTTCAATAAAGTTGAGAGATCAGGGAGACTCATGCGAAAATGGCCCCAAGAATTTCTAAAGCATTTTGATGAAGCAGGAGTGATCGGATAGTAAGTCAAAGACGACTATTTATTAAGTAGACCTTTCCATAATAAAGCTTCAGCTAGTCAACAAAATCAGAATTGGGGGTTCTGATGAAATCAATTTAATCCTAGGTACCATCTCTGCGGGCTGCCAGAGCACCTTTAGCAAACCTTGCAAGTTGCGTCCTTTGTAAATTACTTCACATGAAATGTGAATCACTTTCTATACAAAGAAGTACTGAACTCCTGTATACTTCTAAAGGAGAATGCGTAAAGAAAAGGAAGGAGTGAGATTATAACCATTCAACAATACTGTTAATAAAATAAAACCACATTTGGGATTAAAATAAGTTCTTAGAGAATATAAACACAGTGTACCTCTCAAAAAAGCACATTAAATATAGTTCAGCTCTTTAAGAACATCTTGCATTATGGCCAATTGGTCTCATAGTCACATTTCTCCAAGGTCCCATGTTAATTCATATTATTGTGATTACTGAGATGTCGATGTCATTTCCAATGCAGAGGTAAGACAGCACAATACTTTCTAATGCTAACTGCAGTTCACTATTGGCATAACAAGTAACCATGGTAATTCCTGCAGTAGAACATACTATACATTTAAAATAGTAGGAGGCAGGCATGATAATTCAGGGTTATATTTGAAATATCAATCTATGGACAGCCTAATTAAAATATTTTGCCAGGTTCAACTATAATAGGCTGTTAATTATAAGAAAGAAGATTAAAAATTGGCATATAGAAACATGTTTATAAATATGTCCATTTGGGAGTAATGTTTCTTATTTCTGATATTGGCTCTTCACTAATTCAGTAAGTAATGAAGGAAAAGTGTAAGAACTAGTGGGTTAACAAACAGAATCAATGATCCTGACTTCCTATTTTATCTAGCTTTTAAGGACTAGGTAGAGTCAGATTAATGAGTAGACTGAATATACTATTTTTCTGGATATTGAAACAAAATGCTCTTTTTCCCCCCTCAAAAAAAAATACCTCAGGATTTGTAGCCTGAAAATTATAGACCAAAACTAGACCATTGTGTCTTGGATTCAAGTCTCTGCCAGACACTATGGCTAGAAGGGGTGGTGGGCCTGAAAACTGGGTTGTCTCAAAATCCAAGAAAAGGGTAAATAAGAGTAGTTTAGATATTATGATATTTTATCCAGTATCTTGATGCATCAGTTTGCTTGCTTGTATGAAAACAGCCAATAACAGTGACGAAAGTTAATAGAAAAAACGTGGAGTTGGGGAACGGGTGCTCATCTTTGATGACATGGCCTCTTGTTACTGCCTAATAGCTAAAATGCTTTAGAATTCTATATTGAAAATAAGCGTTTTCAATTATGCTGTCATTGTCAATTCCCTGACAGTCCACTAAGTTAAATGGCCCTCCAGGGACAAAGAAGACACTCAATCTTGTAAACATAAAAGTTAGCCCCATATAGGCTATAGCGTCATTGAACTAAAAAAAAAAATCTTGTAGGCTTAGCAAATTCATTCCCCAACTTCAGGACCTCTGCCATAGCTCAAGAATCTTCTACTTCAAAAATGGAAGGAAGTTAAAAAAACAACACTCAGTTGGTCCACTTTGATGATGATAAATACTGTATCTTGATGATTGTATCTTATAGTGAGGAGCATATAACAGTCAGTTTCTGTATAGTTATGAAAGAGTTACTTCCCCACTTTTTAAAAATAGAGGAAGAAGCCCTTTCTAACTCTGGTTCCACAGAACACCTGTTACAGATGCCACTGAGTCTTGAGCTTAGCTGCTATGTCCTGCCCACAGACTCAGCCGTCTGCCCCTTCTTGCTCATACCAGCCTGTATCAAATGTCAGAGTGAATATATTGGTGCTGATGTCAGAGAATCACATAACACCGAGGGAAACAAGGCTAGTCAGAATGTCTCTGCATTTTCAGAAAAGAAAACTAAAGCAAAACAGCCAAAAGATACCTTCCAAATTTTGAATATTGTCATTGAAATTCAAGGTCTCAGATAACGTTAGAAACTCTGAGGTCAAGTGGCAGGACTCTGCAGTTAAGTTAAAGTATTTTTCAGTCTGTGCATACTCAGCTGCTTCAGTCGTGTCTGACTCTGCAACCCTGTGGACTGTAGCCGGTCAGGCTCCTCTGTCCATGGGATTCTCCAGGCAAGAGTACTGGAGTGGGTTGCCGTGTCTTCCTCGAGGGATTGAACCCGCATCTTGTATGTCTCCTGCATTGGCAGATGGGTTCATTACCACTAGCCTCCACCTGGAAAACCCTTTTCAGTCCAATTTTCTTCAATATCTACTCATCTCAACTTGCAAAAAGAGTATAGTCTCACAAGGGAAGGAAGTAAATTCAGTATTTATTGTGTTTCTTTAAAACCAAGAGAACAAAGAAGTAAGCATCCTTCCCTCTCATCTTGAACATAAAAGTATAGCATCTTTTGCATCCACTCACTCCCTACACTATACCTCTCCCTCATCCCACCATCCAGTGAGTCATCAGGTCTTACCAACTTACCAAATGTCTCCAAGGTATTTCTTAAATCTACCCCCTTTCTCTCCATTCCTATCTCACTGCCCTGGTTCAGGCTCATAGCAACACTCCAGAACTATCTCCAAAGATCCCTGATTCATCTCCCGACCTCACATTGCATCCCACTCCAGACTCCCCATTAGTCTTTATCAAAGCCTTAAACTCATTGCAGGTCATCATTCAGATGCTTAAACTCCAGCAATGTCTTCCCAGCTCTTTCAGAGTTAACTATGAGCCTCTTGTCTCTATGGGCTCTCCTGGTGGCTCCGCGGTAAAGAATCTGCCTGCAATGCAGGAGACATAAAAGATTGGGGGTTCGATCCCTGAGTCGGGAAGATCCTCTGGCGGAGGGCATGGCAACCCACTCCAGTATTCTTGCCTGGAGAATCCCATGGACAGAGGGGCCTGGCAGCAACAGTCCATAGGGTCACAAAGAGTCAGACGGGACTGAAGCAACAGCATGCACGCATGCTCTTATCCCTGGCCCATCCCTACTCTCTGGTCTTCCACCTTCTTTCTGCCACTGCCATCAAGAACCCCGCACTCAAGCTCTAATAATAGCAAACATCTAAATTGCTGTTACTATGTGATTTACACACACAAAAAAAAACTTTTATTTACATAGCAGCCCTTTAATGTAGATATTCATAGTATGCCCTTTCTATCGTCAGGGGACCTAAGGCACAGAGAGGTTAAGTAATGGCCCAAGGTGGAACCCAGGCAGTCTGTCTCCAGAGTGCATGTTCTTAACTGCATTGTGCTTCCACTTTCTCAACAGTGTCACAGCTTGTTGCTTTTGTGTGTGCATTCTTAGCATTACTATGAAGTGCTCCTGAGCACTGCTTGTCATCCTGCAGAATTCAGTTCAGCCTCTCAGGAAATCCTTTTCTGACTCTTCCAGAAAGAATTAGGCACCTCTCTTGCCTACATTGTTTATCTCCTCGCATTGTAATTGCATTATCTGGTCATACATCTGTCTCCTGGACACATCCCTCTGGGGGCAAACTGTCTTCTTCAGTTTGTATTCCCAGCTCAAGATACAAGAGAGAGGACCTGGCAGATATTCAGTAAATCCGTGTTAGCAGAATAAAGGAAAATTTGATCTTCTAGACATAAATTTTTTATACTGTTTATGTGGAAAAAAGAAAAAATACTTCAAAGAAGTAATGTAATTTTAAATACAAAAAGATATACTCTTATCTGTAATTCACAGAAATAATCTTCTGATACTGTGAGTAATGAATAGTGAATTCATTATTTGATTAAATGGCTGAGCATTATTAACCAATAAAGTTTTACAAACTTTAACTTACCTAATGGAAAACCTGGAGGGCATATATATATCAGTAAATAAAACATAGGCGGGTGCCTCTGACCATCACAAGCTTCTTCTTGAAATAATGAACATCTTATTGCTTAAGTTGAAGTCCTTTCATACATGAAGGTGAGAGGTGATAAAGAAGAAACAGGATGGGGTTGTACTCTTGATGTAAGGGAAATATGCACCAAGTTATTATAATACGTTAGTGACATTTGTAGGTTTCAGTTGACAGTTATTCATCCACTATTTAATCCTTTACTTTCAAGAGCCAAAATTGAAAGTCATTGCTTTTAAAATTACATTTTGTCATATCTCTGTACATTAAAGCTTTTAATATGCTAATCTTAGTGCTTACAGATGATTGTAAGATCAAGTTCAGTTGAGTTTCTGTATTCATTAGGTTTAATCGTTAGCACAGCAGTGCCTTGTGTTGGATTATTCATTTTCTTATTGGTGCCCTTTGTTTTCATGACATAGTTCCTTTTTTATTGGGTTGAAAGTACCAGTATGCTCAAGGATGTACTGTTTCCTGATTGAGATTAAAAAAGGGGGGACGAGGGGTCAAAGAGCAGAAAGAAAATCCTTTAGGAATCTCTTTGAAAAGTCAGGAGAATTGTTAGCAATTTGACAATAAGGCAAAGGATATTTATGTATATTGGTTAATAATTTTAATTGGCATTTATTGTAAATTAGAGATAATTTTATATAAAAAGAAACAGCTGTTTCCTTATTTTGATTGTTAATTGTTTACTATTTTATGCATTTGGTTGTCAAGCATTGTCACTTCTGGAATGCTTAATTTATATCAGCTAAATACATAGAGACTTGGTAGTGGCAGTGTGCTGCTGTGGATAAACCACGGAGCAGTGGCTGAGTAAGGAGACCTGGCTTCCAGACTCTGAGAAGACTCCACTTGGCAAGACTTTGGGCCATGACTTTGGACTTCTGAACTTAGTACTCACATTAGGGATAAGACACAAAAGTCTTTAGGGTC